CAGAAAAAGACATTTGGCAGAGTATAAACTTTTCCAGCTAATGGGCTTCTGTAGCCCTTGTAGAAGGAGGCTCTGTATTTACAGTCTAAGACCGTGGGTCCCAGACCGACCCTACTTTAAACTGACTATGGGACTCAATCAAGATGCTAAGCTTTTTGAGCCACACTTCCCTTATTTTGGAAAGTCCAGATGATAACAGTAGTAACTATCTTACAGGGTTGTTATGGGGATTAAATGGTGCTTCATTTTCAAAGTGCTTTGTAAAGAACAAGGTGCTTGTTCTAACATGTGGTCTAAGCATTCCTTGGGTATTTAGACAGGCTGTGTTTGAATGTCTATTGTGTGCCACGCCCTGGGCATGCAAGAGGCATTAATGCCTGGTGCTTACAATCAAGAATCTGTCAGGCAACATGAAAAGTCAGATATGTGAAAGAACCATCCCAAATTATTGCACTGCAACTTACACCATATAACTTGCTCCTCAAAAATACAGGGTCACCTGTGTCATTCATTAGGATGAGAATATTCTCATCTTCTAGTGTAGATTGCAGAGGGTAGGACCATGGCTTCTTTTACCTCCACGGCAACTTACTTATAGTACTGAGCGAAAAATATCCTCGTATAGAGGGCTCTCCCTGGACTAGGCTCTATGTTAAAACCTCTTAGGTATATATTTAGATTTATGTATCTTTAAAACAATCCTAAGCGGTAAGTAATATTATAATTTCAATTTTACAGCGAGGAAACATAGGCACTAGCAGTTAAATAAGGTGGCTCAGCTGTTGAGTAGCAGAATCAGACTTTGAACCTTAATAGATTGGATTTCACAGCCCAACGCCTACTTACTTTGCTAGGAGCTCTGGAAAGCTCTACCTTGCTAACTGGTTTCTAAACTCATCTCAGAGCCTAGCATAGAGAACTTTGTGTTGAGTTTAAAAGGAAACATGAGGGGCGCCTGGGTGGCTTAGTCGGTTAAGCGTCCGACTTTTGCTTAGGTCATGATCTCATGGTTCGTGGGCTCGAGCCCCGCGTCGGGCTCTGTACTGACTGCCAGCTCAGAGCCTGGAGCCTGTTTCAGAGTCTGTGTCTCCCTCTCTCTCTGACCCTCCCCTGTTCATGCTGTCTCTCTCTATCCTAGAAATAAAAAAAAAATAAATAAATAAATAAAAGGAAACATGAGGTGAGGTGTGTGAGGTGTAAGGGGGGAGCTCAGAGGACTGACAGGGGGCCTTTGGACTCTTGTCATGTCCCTGGGGGAATGTTCCTGTCATAGGGAACCATGTGCCCACTCCTGGGCCTGTGCTGTGAGAATTGAGAATGGTTTCCAGCTCCTATTAAGCAGCAGCCAGTTAAAGATCTTGTGGGTTCCCCACACAAGGACAGGCCAGTCAGAGGACCCAGTGGGCTCGGAGGGGAGCACACACACAGTAGAGTCCAGGAGCCAGGTAGATCGGGGTGGGGGTCATCTGGGATGCTGCTTACACAGGGACCTAGTGACAGAGACGAGATGAAAGTAGAGGCTGGGAAGGAGTGAGACTGAGAGGAACGGTGAGGCAAATTAGTGGACAAATGGAGCCATGCATTGAAAAGTCTGGGTCTTCATGGTTCTTGCTCTTTTAAATGAATGTAGTGAGTGAAATCTGTTGGAGTACAGGACGGGAGGTATCACCATCCCAGACTTCAGCCTCTACTACAAAGCTGTCATCCTCAAGACAGTATGGTATTGGCGCAAAAACAGACACATAGACCAATGGAACAGAATTGAGAACTCAGAAGTGGACCCAAAAGTATACAGCCAACTGATCTTTGACAAAGCAGGAAAGAATATCCAATGGAAAAAAGACAGCCTTTTTAACAGATGGTGTTGGGAGAACTGGACAGCAACATGCAGAAGAATGAAACTAGATCATTTTCTCACACCAGGCACAAAAATAAACTCAAAATGGATCAAGGACCTGAACGTGAGACAGGAAACTATCAACACCCTAGAGGAGAAAGCAGGAAACAACCTCCTTGACCTCCACCGCAGCAACTTCTTACTTGACACATCCCCAAAAGCAAGGGAATCAAGAGCAAAAATAAACTGTTGGGACCTCATCAAGATTAAAAGCTTCTGCACAGCCAAGGAAACAACCCAGAAAATTAATAGGCAACCAACGGAATGGGAAAAGATAGTTGCAAATGACATATCAGATAAAGGGTTAATATCCAGAATCTATAAGGAACTCACCAAACTACACGCCCGAAAAACAAACAACCCAGTGAAGAAATGGGCAGAAGACATGAACAGACACTTCTCCAAAGAGGACATCCAGATGGCCAACAGACACATGAAACGATGCTCAGCATCCCTCCTCATCAGGGAAATACAAATCAAAACCACACTGAGATACCACCTCACGCCAGTCAGAGTGGCTAAAATGAGCAAATCAGAGAACTCTAGATGCTGGCGAGGATGTGGAGAAACGGGCACCCTCCTACACTGTTGGTGGGAATGTAAACTGGTTCAGCCCCTCTGGAAAACAGTGTGGAGGTTCCTCAGGAAACTAACAATAGAACTCCCTTACGACCCAGCAATAGTACTGCTAGGAATTTACCCAAGGGATACTGAAATGCTGAGGCATAGGAGCACATGTACCCCAATGTTCATAGCAGCACTCTCCACAATAGCTAAAACATGGAAAGAGCCTAAGTGTCCATCAACAGATGAATGGATCAAGAAGATGTGGTTTATCTATACCATGGAATACTACATGGCAATGAGAAAGAATGAAATCTGGCCATGTGTAGCAACATGGATGGACCCTGAGGGTGTTATGCTGAGCGAAATAAGTCAGGCAGAGAAGGACAAATATCATATGTTTGCACGTATAGGAGGATTAGGAGGAACTTGACGGAGGAACAAGGGGGAGAAGAAGGGCGGAAATGGTGGGGGAAAGGGAGAGAGACAAACCATGAGAGACTCTTGAATGCTGACAAAAACTGAGGACTGATGGATGTGGGGGGGAGGGGGGGATGGGCATGGAGGAGGGCACTTTGGGGATGAGCACTGAGTGTTATGTAGAAACTAATTTGACAATAAACTATTTGTAAAAAAAAAAAAAAAAGAAATCTGTTGGAGTACAGGAAAGAGCACTAGAGAGGGATTATCAAGAACAGGGAGAGATGCTACCACCCTTGGGCCTGAAGCAGGAAGGGGACGATAGCAGATACTGGAACCCCCTGAGAGCTTTAGCTGTGGGGCATCCCCTGGACAGGAGCTGTGGCCTTGGTAGAGGAACATAGGCCCTGCCAACCTGCAGCGTGGCAGGAAGCAAACCAGGGGAATAACACTCCAACTTCTCTCTCATATGGTTCCTGCCACTCACAGAGATTTCACCCAACCAGATGCCAGAGAGCAAGAGGGCCAGCTTATGCTATTTACAGTGATCAGCAATCCAAACACAGAGCAGAGAAGGATGGATCTGGAGGGGCAAATGGAGACTATCCAGTGCATCTATCCATGGAAGTGTTTAGAAGCTACAACCAAGAGGCTATCAATAGGGAAGTATCTAAATAAACTGTGATATGTGTACACTAGGGAACACTATGTGGCAGTTGCAAAAATAGATCAATAAATATTGACATGGAAGGATCACTGAGACGTATTGTTGAATGGCGAAGCAAATTGCAGAAAGATGTCTGGAGGAGGATGGCAAGTTTATCTCACACACACACACACACACACACGCAAGTCTATGAAATATCCTGAGTCTGTTGTCTAATGTGTGTTGTGTGTATATATATGTATATTCACATAAAGTCTGGAATGCTAATAGTGGTTTGCACTGGGGGGAGGGTGGGAGGAGGTTCAAATTGGGGAAGACAGTCAAAGGGGATTTCAGTAGTGGTAGACATTGCTGGTTGCCTACTAGTAGCCATCTTCCATCCCCCACCTCCCAACTCTTCCATGCTAACAATTCAGATTATGTTCAGGTATCAAAGAGCAGCATTTGATTAGGGAAGGTAGTCTAGGCATCGAGTCATGATCTAAACCAAATACAGTCATGTCACTCCACTTGCCTGTGTTTGGCCTACAGGTAGGCATGAGACTCAGTCAGCTGGTGATTTGTTTGCTCTAATACCAGAGAGTGGAGTGGGACTGAGTTCTGCCTCTCCCCTTCCTGTCTGTCTTGGGGTGATATTGTTTGAAAATGTGATGCTTGGAGCTGTGACAACCATCTTATGACCACAAGAGAAAGTCCAGGAGAACTGTGGAGACATCAGTCCAGCATCCTGACATCTTCTTGCTGTTCCAAGGCAGATACTATTCTACTTCAAACTTCTGGTTACTTGAGATATTAAAATGCCTTTATTGCTTACACCAGTGTTAGCAGGACATTCTGTTACAATTCAATTCATCCTAACAAATCCAGTAGCTTCATCTGAAATAGTTTAAGCATTTTCTCAGGAGAATTTATTCCTGTGCTACTTGTGTAGTTAAACACTTTTTGTAATGCTACCTCAGTCCCTTTTACTTCATCTCCAGAATTGATCTGGTTCACATTCTACTGGCAACCTAAGGCTCTCTCTACCCTTGGGGATCCTTGCTTGCCTCTGCCTCGGCACTACTACGTGCTGAACTGCTTTGATTGATGACTCAGGCGGACAAGACTTGGGGAATATATCTCCTTCTCCCCCCCGGGGCTGCTGTGTCTTCTCCCCACCTCAGCCTGGGGGATCCACTGTCTGGGGCTGCCCTTCCCACAGCATTCTCTGCAGGGTGGCTGCCCTTGGGTAACAAAAGAGGTCTGGGGAGACTGGAGAGATGCAGAGTTGGAGAGGCCAGGAGGTCCAGACCTAAAGCAAACAGCACCAGCGTCTGGGTGGGATTCCTGTGTTCTGCCCCTAGGCATGACCTTGGAATATTGTAAAGAAGCTCCTTCTAGGTCTATCCAGGGCAGTCATGCAGCTCCTGAGATTCCTGAGGATGCTTTTAAACCATTAGTACTCACCACTTCTCCTGGAGGTCCTGTACACTGGATTTCATCTCCACAGCAAGGGGGGGCTTGTGAAAATATCAGAAAGAGGAGGCTCAGTGGCTTAGGCAGGTTTGCTTGGTGGAAGGCCACCCTGGAGGCCAATGACTGCTGGGAGCCCCTTGTGACAGGCTGAGGGAGAGAAGCTGATGTTATGGTTGGGGCCCAGGATGGGGTACAGGGGAGGGGGACTGGTGTGAGTTTCCCCCTCCCCTTTACCATGGACGATGCTCTACAAATGGGGACAAGGGAAGTTTTCTGCATTCTTCAGAGCAAGGCCAGAAAGATCTTTGGGAGCTGTTTCCAAGGGTATTTCAGGGAGCTCTCTAATAAGGGTTTCCTTTGTGGCATTGCAAAGTCAGTCCCATGTGAATCATTTCATTGCAGCAGGGCCTGGCCCTGGGTGGGGGTGGGGGGAGGAATGGGAGGCCAGGTCTTCCTTTGTTCCTTTGCCCCTCTGAGCTCCTCCGCCCCTCTCCACCTGCCCTCTTCCTGTTTGCTCTACCTCCCCAAACCTACAGAGGGCTTCACACAAGTTTGCAGGGAAATTGACCTGTGGTTAAAGACTCGGAAAAGCAAACTTTTGTTTGCCTCAGATGCCTGCTGCTTTATTATTCATGGTTCCCTCTATCTCCCACTGTTTTCTGCAAAGGCTGAAAATAAACACTTTTGTAATACAGACTTGTAATTCACACTTCCCTGACAAATTACTCAAACTTGCAGCCACAGCTGCTTAAAGAGGGGGTTTGACGCAAGCCTTGTTCAGCAGGTGCTAACTCAGAAGTTTTCAACCTTTCAACGCAGTTCATCTTGCTCCTTCTAAGCTACTTAAGAGGCCTAGGAGGGAATCTGGAAATCCAGGGGACAGAACTCACCGCCAGTGTCTTCATTGCACATTCAGACTTTTGAAACTGCTGAGTCCTTGGGGCTGTTATTCAATTCACTTTTTCAAGTCTTGTCCTGGAGTCATTGACAGCCTTACCTGGAAGGGATCGTAGAAATCTGTTAACTCATGAACTTTATCCTAAAAGCCAGAGAAGCGACTTCCCTGCTTAAAATGACCAGATTGGTTAGTGGAGCAGCTGGGAATAAAACCCCAGACTCTAGACTCCTGGTCCATGTGCTTCCCATTAAGCCACACCTTATTCATTTATTGGGTTTTATTTCTCCCATTTAAGTTTTTATTATGGAAAATTTCAAACATAGACAAAGTAGAGAGCCAAGAAGAGTAGTGCCCCCACCCAGCTGTGGTTTGGATTTGGCAGTTTCACTGATCCATGGTCAACTGCAGTGGGAAGCGGACGCCCCTCCTGATAAATCATCAGAAGGTCAAGAGTAGTAGCCTAAGCTACCTCACCTGCCTGCGTCATTCACGTCATCATCTCACATCATCACGAGAAGGGTGAGTACAGTGCAATGAGATGTTCTGAGAGAGTCAGAGAGACCACATTCACATAGTTTTATTATAGCATAGTGTTATAATTATTCTATTAGCAATTATTGTTAATTTCTTACTATGCCTATTTTATTAATTACGCTTTATCATAGGTATGTATGACTAGGGCTCAGTACTATCTATGGTTTTAGGCATCCACTGGGGGATGTGAAACATTTTCCCTGTGGATAAGGGGGGACAACCGTACATGAATACCCATGTACCTACCGCTCAGTTTCAATAATTGTCCTTGTTCTGATGTTCTTGCTTAATCTATTCCCCACCTTCTTCCTTTGCAACCAGACAGACTTCACACCACTTTATTAATATAGCAATATGTATGTTTAACAGAAAGCTTTAAAAACATAATGTAACCACAGAACTATTACTACACTCACAAAATTAACAATATTTCTTGGTGTCATAATACCTAACTCCTCCTTAATTTTCTCCAATTGTGTCAAAAATATCTTTCTTGCAATTTATATCAGGATCCAAACAAATCCACACGTTGCATTTGTTGATTTTTTAAAAAGGGCTTTGAAACTCTGGTAGTCCCTCTTCTCATACATCCCTGGCACTTTGTGTTTGTTGAAGAAGCTGGGTCATCTGTCCTTCAGAATTTCCCACATTCTGAATTTGGCTGGGTGTGTCCTGCTGGTACCCTTTAACATATTATTTCATCCCATGCCTTGTAAATTGGTAGTTAGATGTAGAGCAGTTGATTCTTCGTGAGGGGGAGATCCCCAATCCCATTTACCTCAAGGACATTTGGCAATGTGTGGAGAATCTTTTGGTTGTCACAACAGGGTGGTGCCATTATCATCAAAAGGCGAGAGGCTAGGGATGTTGCTAAACATCCTATACACACAAGAAAGAACTATCTGTTCCAAGATGTGTGTTTTGAGAAACCCAGGTGAGAGACTTGATGGGATTTAAGTTCATATTTGTTTCTTTGGCAAAGATATTTCACAGGTGGTACTGTGTATTTCCTATTGGATCACAGGAGGAGGACACCATGGCTCATGCTACGGTGATGTTAAAGTTGATGAGTGAATTCAGGAGGCATCAGCCTGACACATAAAGTTAGCCACATGGAGACATTTGGTGAGTGAACAAGCACTACAGATAGATGAAAACTGGGAATATCTCTGGCAAACAGGGACATGTGTCATCCTATTCATTGACTTTTCAAGAGCTTTATTCATCTCTAATTGATTTTCTTCACTCCCTCCTTCCCACAGTTTTTACAAGTTATATAGGCACATAAATTCAAGGGTCATATCATCCTCATTGCTACAGCAGTTCCCTCATCTCTCCCAACTTTCCCTTCCCAAGAGGCAACTACTTTTATTTTTTATTTTTTTATTTTTTTAATTTTTTAAAAGTGTTTTTATTTATTTCTAGGAGAGAGAGAGAGAGAGAGAGAGACACTGTGAGCAGGGGAGGGTCAGAGAGAGAGGGAGTCACAGACTGAAACAGGCTCCAGGCTCTGAGCTGGCTGTCAGCACAGAGCCCGACGCGGGGCTCGAACCCACGAACCGCGAGATCATGACCTAAGCGAAAGTCGGACGCTTAACCGACTAAGCCACCCAGGCGCCCCTAAGAGGCAACTACTTTTAATATTTATCTTTCCATGTCCTAATAATGGGCTTACATTGTTATTTCTTGAGCAATTTAAGTTTTTGGCATTTTCTAGTGACTACTCCCTCAAGAATACAATAATTTCTCCATTTTCTGATAATGCTTCTTAGTGGCCTGTTCAAACACCTTTTCTAACCCTTCATGTTTTCAGAACAAATTCTAATTTTAGTTGTCTGCTCATGTGTGAGGGTGGGATGTTAAAACGCCAACCGGAAGCTCCGATGTTGCAGGTGGGGCTTGTTACAAGCTTCACGGTAGGTTATCTGGCTATGCTGTTTTTTAGGGAATCCGCAGTGTCAGAATGTTTGTCTCTCTTGAGCCACTAAGGTTGCCCAGGGAAGAGTTTTCCAGTCTTCTGCCTAGAAGAGATAAGCCTGCTTGCCGGGGTTCCAGGAGCTAAGTGGGGCTAGAGGGCTGAAAGTCTCAGCCTTTAGTATGTACACTTTCCTGTTTGTTTGTTTTAAAGATTCCCTTGCCATCTTTTGTGCCTGTTGTCCTCTAGTCCCCAGACTGTTAACTTCCTCCAGAGAAGAAACCTAAGTCTAATGACGGGGTTTTATGGAAAACCAGTTGCCTAGCTGCATAGACTTGGGAAAGGAACCTAAGGATCAAACTTTTTCATGAAGATGTAATTGTCATAAAATAAATAGCATTTATTTACACTGTACAATTTTATAAGTATGTATACACCCATGAAATCATCATAGCCAAGATAATGGACATATTAACTACCCCTACTCTTTCTTCCTCATCCCCAGACAACTACTGATTTGCTTTCTTTTACTAGAGATCACTTTGCATTTTCTATTCAAATGTTGTATAAATTGAATCAAACATTATGTGCTCTTTTGTGTGTGTGGGGGGGGAAGGGGTTCTGGCTTTTTTCACTCAGTATAATTATTTTGAGATTCATCCATGTCGTTGAGCATGTCAATAGCTCATGTTTTTAATTGCTAAGTATCTCACTATATTCATGTGCCACAATTTGTTTATTCATTCACTTGTTGATGAGCATTTGGATTGTGTCCAGTTTGGGGTTATTACAAACAAAGCTGGTAGGCACGTTCATATGCAAGTTGTTGTGTGGACATAGTTTTTCATTTTTCTTGGGTGGGCCACAGGGTAGGTGCATGTTTAATTTTTAATGAAACTGCTATCGTATTTTCCAAAGTGGTTGCACCATTTTACATTCCCAACAGCAATGAATGAGAACGTTCTAATTGTTCAACATCTTTGCCAACACATGATTTGGTCAGTCATTTAAATTTTAGACATTCTAGGGGTCCTTGGGTGGCTCAGTCAGTTGAGCGTCCAACTTCAGCTCAGGTCATGATCTCACGGCTTGTGAGTTTGTGCCCCGCGTAGAGCTCTGTGCTGAAAGCTCAGAGCCTGGAGGCTGCTTCAGATTCTATGTCTCCCACTCTCTCTGCCCATCCCCCACTCATGCTGTCTCTTTCTCTGTCTCTCTGTCAAAAATAAACATTAAAAAAATTAAAAAAATAAATTTTAGAAATTTTAGTAAGTGTATAGCAGTATGTTATTGTGGTTTAATTTGCATTTTTAAAAAAAATTTTAATGTTTATTTTTGAGAGAGAGAGACAGGGTGTGAGCAGGGGAAGGGTAGAGAGACAGGGAGACACAGAATCTAAAGCAGGCTCCAGGCTATGAGCTGTCAACACGGAGCCTGATGTGGGGCTTGAACTCACAGACCAGGAGATCATGACCTGAGCTGAAGTCGGTTGCTCAAGCAACTGAGCCACTAGGCACCCCTATTTTGCATTTTCTAATGGCTAATGATGTTGAGCATCTTCGAATGTGCTTATTTGCCATCTGCATATCTTCTTTGGTGAATTGTCTGTTCAGATCTTTTGCCCATTTAAAAAAAATTTGAGGGGCGCCTGGGTGGCTTAGTCGGTTAAGCGTCCGACTTTCGCTTAGGTCATGATCTCGTGGTTGGTGGGTTCGAGCCCCGCGTCGGGCTCTGTGCTGACTGCCAGCTCGGAGCCTGGAGCCTGTTTCAGTCTGTGACTCCCTCTCTCTCTGACCCTCCCCTGCTCACGCTGTCTCTCTCTCTCTCCTAGAAATAAATAAAAACATTTAAAAGAAATTTGATTACTTTGTTTTCTTACTGAGTTTTAAGATTTCTTAATATATTTTAGATACAAATCCTCTTTCAAATGTGTGACTTACATATATTTACTCCCAGTCTATTTAACAATGTCTTTCAAAGAGCAAATGTTCTTAATTTGATGAAGTCCAATTTATTACTTTTTTATTACTTTTTTATTACTTTATTTGCTTTTGGTGTTGTACCTAAGAAATCCTTGCTTAAAGTCACAAAGTCACAAAGACTTTCTCCTGTTTTCTTCTAAAAGTTTTATATTTTGGGGCCTTGTTTAGATTTGGGTCTATTATACATTAAAAAATTTTTTAATATTTTTTTATTTTTGAGAGAGAGAGAGACAATGTGAGCAGGGGGAGGGGGAGGTGCAGAGAGAGAAGGAGACACAGAACTTGAAATGGGCTCCAGACTCCATGCTGTCAGCACACAGCCTGCCGTGGGGGTGGAATTCACAAACTGTGAGATCATGACCTGAGCTGAAGTCGGACGCTTAACCGACTGAGCTACCCAGGCGCCTCTGTGATACATTTTGAGTTAATTTTTTCTATATGGTATGAGGCGTGGGTCAAAGTTCCATTTTTTTGTAGGTGGATATCTGTCTGAGGACCATTTATGAAAAAGATTTTGATTTCCCCATCAAATTGCCTTTGTACTTTTGCAAGTTTTTTTGTTTGTCTGTTTGGTATACTCTCTTCTATTTTGTTGGTCTACTTGTCTATCTTGAACTTAATACCACACAGTCTTGATTTTTATAATTATATACTAAGTGTTGAAGTTAGAT